AATTAACGATCGGATGATAAAATAGGTACGATGGATCGAAAAAAAAAAAAAAAAAAAAAAAAAAAAAAAAAAAAAGAAAAAAAAAAAAAAAAAAAAAAAAAAAGCAAGAAAGAAAGAAAGAAAGAAATGGACGGCAGGAAGAAAGACATAAATTGGCCCTATGGAGCCAAGAGTGGGATCACACGCCATCGAATCCTGTACCTTGTGGCTGTTAATCGAGAAACCATGACCGTAGCCGTAATTCTCATCATCTGCCTTCATTAGTTCCTTTGAATGAAAGATTCAACCTCAAACACCGAATACCACCGAAGAATTGTCGGTGAGTAAGTGGACAAGTATCCATGAAAGCACGTGGGCTTTTCTTTTTATTTTCTTTTCCACTTTATCTTATTCCTTCTGATTTTCCCCGAAGTTCTTCAAATTTCATTGTCTATAGTAATCATCGAGAGCGCGGGGGGAGAATGTTTGGTACAAATCTCCAGCATTGTGGTAGGTAACCTTTTTTGTTTTGGCCCCCTTGCAGCCACGGAATTTCACGGAAAAAAAAAAAATCAAGGTTGACTAGTAATTGAATTGAGGCATTTGAGGCTCCATCTTGAGTCAGTTAGTCAAGTGTAATTTCGATTTTCCTCTTTCGTTTTGTTCCTTTTCTCCTCTTTCCCCCATATCTCCTCTCTCGGCTTGCCCCAGTCTGATTGGTTTCTTAGTGCTGATATCAGTCATGACCGAGCTTCGTAAAGAGAGAAACTCAAACGACTTTCAAATACGTAGCTAAATTACAAACAAGACCGCATTTCGTTTGACAGCCAGACTAACCAAGCCTACTAAGTTTCTTAGCGATAGCCATGAACTCGTGCTGACATGGATCTTCCTTCGGAGTGGCTGTGTTCCATCCAGCTATTTATTCTCTATGCACGTATCCTCGCTTCTATGCTGACGGGCTTACTGATCGATGGCCAGACTTCCTTGGTTTCCTTCTTGCTCGTTCGAAGTAGATATTGCATTGGCAGATTGGCTTTTGATAATGACTACCAGCAGTTCGTAGAGTTCTTCGTCTCTGGTTTTAAATCTAATTTTATTTTATTTTTTTCATTTTCCCTCTTTTTGTCTGTTGCTGTCTGGATCTTTACTTCGTGAAGACCTCGTGGACAGCGGCAGAGGTAGATTGACGTAGTAATATGTAGATTTTTGGGGGACCGCAATACAGTCCGTAGGACTTGGTCTTGTTCCAACCCAGGACATGAATTCAGTCATATGTAAACCCTTGAGCATATTTATTTATGCACTGTACTGTGTATTAAGTCATCAGTCGGAATAATACGATGTGGTTTATACACTATCCAATCCACTCTGGCTGCTCCCAGTATATGTAGAATACTATAGCCGGGGATCCATTCATATCACCCAATGTTTCAAGAGTTATCCTTGTGCTGCGCTAACACCTCTGTAGGAGGAGCTCTAGCAGCGATTTGTGCTCAGAGATCTTCGCTGTTAAGCGCGATTACTGACAGGCATTAGATACAATATTATTAACCGGCATTCGTTCCCCCGTATAGCAAAACTGTCTTAACTGTCGGTACATCGCTCAGGGGACTGACGCTACTATAACTTTTGTATTATTATCAGGGTAGAGCTGCATATGGCTTGCTAGGAGCGAATTATAGGCTTAGGCATCTGATATTGTGGTGTGCTGAATGTCACAGTAGCAAATGTTTGCCTCTCCTGTTTCATGGTAACATGGAAGGGAAGCCATACAACATGGTTAAGCATTCTCAAGTGACCCGTAGTTATTGCGAACCGGGCCTTAATTGCTGGAGGTATCCCGAGTAGACGCAATCTAACTCTTTCAGTCCGCAGCTGCAGATAGGAGAAGATGCATGCAGGGATGGCCATCACCGACGCGTTTAGAGCATGTGGAAACTTCGATGATCTCGAGACCAGGTATATACAGGAGACTACTTTCTTTGCACATCCGGACCTGGATAGTAGGAGGTACCTTGCTCAATAATGAGAACATTGTTGTTGAGCTATATACCGCTGCTATCCCGGCCATTCTTGCCATGCCGCTGTTTTATTACGACGACACTATGTGTTGTTCCGCGGTAAGAATGACCCGAGAAGTAGTTTCTCGTGTTGATCTTCTCATTCCCTGGTGATTTGTTCTGGTGTTGCCCATAACATGCTTTCTTACCGCCCTTTTGTTACGACTTTAGTAACTACATTATACATGGCTTGGCTATCATTTTTGAACTTCGCGCTCAGTGCTAGCAACTCCATAGCCAACTGGTCTTTCGCTAAGTGGCCCCTTTGATTGTCGGCATGTGTTAATGTATCTTTAGTTGCGACTATGCTGTAGTAGTCAATAGTTTCAATTTGCTCTATTGCATCAAATATACTATATGTACTGATTATGGCTGGGAAGTGTTAACATTCACTCCACTACAGGTTTATAGTCAAATATCCTTACTCAACTTCGATTTAGTCACCTAACAGGCTGACACTAATATACTTATAAGCTAAGAATCTCCCCCAGCCCGCCATTTTACTCTACTAGATGCATAACATACCTATAAAGCAATCCTTTCCCAGGGGCTTTCCTTGGTTTCCCTATAGCACATAGAAGATAACGTCAGCCTGGATGGGCTAGTGGTATGATTCGCGCTCCAGTGATAGACATTCATTGATTTGATGTTCATGCCAAAGTATGCGAGCGGTTCCAAGCCTTACCTGGGTTATATATCTGCCTCTACATCTTTGGATATATATATATATGTATGTATGTATGTATACTCACAGCGATAGCAATTGTTAGTGAGACACGGCAGACATGGATTTCTTGACACTATGAGCACAGCTGTATAGAGAGGTTTTGACAATCTATACCATAACTGACGCTCTACATACGAAGTGACCCTGAATCGAGGAGGACCTCTGCTGCTCTGCGAGCCGCGGTTGAGCTGTATAAATTCCTCACCACTGCCAAGCAGATCACCGTTGAGGCCTCCAGTCTTCTTGTGTAACAGGACAGAAAAGGCGGTATGATGGCCAACGTTGTCCTACAGCTTCTGCATGCAGATTCCCAGCTATCATACATAACTAGACAGATACATTGTATAATCGCTTGGGTGGCCTAGAGGTATAATCCTCACTTTGGGGCTGGCCTAATACAGTACATATGCAAGAGGTCCGCCGGTTGGGCTATTCTTCATTTTTGTTTGTGTTTGCACCACTCTTTCAGTAAACCAATCACTTTAAACTAGGTTATTAGTTAGTTGCTTCAATAGTGAGTATGGTTCTTCTACCTTTCAATATGTTTTATCAGTGAAGCTTGCTGTATGATAAGGAAGCCTAGACCACTTGCAGAAGTAATGTTTGTTTTGCACTAATACTGTCGGTATACATCAGTCAACCACATGAATAGCGGACTCCATATCTCAGCTGTGCAGCTAAAGTCACGGGATTTCTTCTGTAATTTACTCTCTGGGTTCGTTCACAAACAGAATCAGTTTCTTTCACAACCTGGAATTTTCAGTATGTTTCCTCATTGTACCTCAGCATTTCTTCCAACCACTGAGAAGTACGTACATACACACATGTTTAGTTTCAAGCCTTACATCCCAGAGAGTCCAGCATAACAGCTATGGTCATTATCCCAGTCGATTCCGTGATCAATCGTGGCTAAGTGACCCTTCGGTTACTCAGACACACTCGAGGGCAACGCCACAGAGCCTTGCATCACTCTAAATGAAGGATCTAAGAATCGAAAGCCACAAGATCTGTCCTGAAGTTTCAAAATGGGTTCGCCGGGGGCGCTCCATTACCTCATAATCTGGAGGGGCTAATACTTTCGGTCAGGGAAATTTGTTCGACTCTGGACCATGGAAGGTCACAGTTGATTAAAGTCTGATATCGAGGTGCCATTTTTGCTCCTTAACTTGCTGGGAATGGCACTCAAAAGACGCTTTCTTACGTTTCGGTCCAGGCTTCTGGAAGAGTTATTTGGCCCTTCAGGAGACGAGTAGGTGGCTTCTGGGCTAGGCCCGAACGCGTGCTATTACCGTTATGAGAAGGGTTTGATCCTAGCAGAACCGGAGCTATTCATCTATGACTAGACCCCTTCCCCCAGTTTACAAATACTGACTGGCCTCATTTTCCAACAGATGCGTGACCAGAGTATCCGATAATGCAAACAGAATAAGTGTATTCCCAAGTGGAAAAACAACTATCAGGATATGTTTTAGGATGTTTTGATTAAGCAGATTCCCCAAGCGATGAGCAAATGTCTCGGAGACAAGGACGATCAACCTAAGAGGCGCATGACTTAAACAACTTGCTACAGGCCTTGTTCGGTAAAACAGCTCACCCCGAAGTATACCAAATTGTGAGTAATTCAGCAACAAATGCAATGATCATCGAGAACGGCAACTCTCAATATCGCCTAGCTATTAAACTTGAGCAATCGCTAGACCTTTGAACAGGACGGCGAGTCAGGAGTACCGTGGGATCTTTGGGAGAGATTGTGGAATTGGTGAGACAAACCCCTTGGTATGGGTTCCGAGCCTGACGAAAGCTCACACGATTCTACACAAGTGTACGGCATCTACCTCAATTATCGTCCCTTCCTCAAGACAATTTATAGGCTTTACTAACGACTAATTCGTACATAGCTTGTTGCCTGACACAGCTGCTACAACACCGCGGCGTGAATCCATATGCCCTGAGAGCGCCACTATAACGCAAACAGACGAAAGCGCCAACTAGATCCATATGGTCAAGTCAAAATAATTGATGCCAAGTCGCAACCAGCAATCGATAACATCATACATTCTCATCTTTCGCTTCAACCATAGATCCTGACCCTATATGTGAGCGTCTTATAGTGATAAACAGCGGAAGGATTACAGCAGAATGTTCGAAAATCTCCGAGTCGGTTTGATTGTGGCTGCTTATGTGACATTACCCAAAGTGTACTAGCCACGGAGACTTTCGCCTACAGTTAGTCAAATCTCATCTAACTATGCGGATACACTTTCGGGATGCGGAGTTTCTATGGAATTCTCTGTTGGATCAGTCACCATGGATTGTTCCTACATAAAGCTTGGGGGAGGATGGAATACAAAGACAGAGCTTCAAGTCATCGCATCGTACATGTCACCAAAACAACCATTACAGTTCGATTCAGAGTGCGATTAAGCTCCTTCCCTTTTGCAGCATAAAGACCTTTTGTATCTATACATCAACCCAGGCATGTCTTCTCAAATTCCGCGACCTGCGCTCAATTTAGAGCTTACCCAGGTGCATAAAGCCCTCCCAAAGATTGGGATGAGCACCAAAGAAGAGCTCGAATCTTACCGTCAATTTTTAGGATCGTCCTTCTCACTGGAGGATGCGATCCGAGGCAGAGAGGATGTGCTCTCTTACGAAGAACGAGACATACCAGGGCCAGCCGGACCGATGAGGGCTACGATATTTCGTCCAAAGAACGAGACCCGGCGGATAGAAGAGACACCAGGAGTCCTTTGCATGCATGGAGGTGGGCTGGTCAGTGGGAATCGCTTTGTGGGTGTCATCGGCATGTTGGACTGGGTCCAGGCTCTCGGTGCTACCCTTGTGACTGCCGAATACCGCCTCGCTCCTGAGCATCCCCAGCCCGCAGCGCTGGAGGACAGTTATGCAGCCCTCCAGTGGATGAGCAAGCACTCTACAGCACTTGGATTCAACCCGCGCAAATTGGTTGTATGTGGTGGCTCGGCAGGCGGGAATCTCGCTGCGGGGGTTACGTTACTGGCTCGCGACCGATCGGGACCTGAAGTCTGCGCTCAAGTACTGATGTATCCGTTACTCGACGATAGTAACCAGGGCCAATCTGTACAGCAATTTGGTGACATCGCTCCCTGGACTGGGTCGAACACTATTGATGCCTTGAGATACGCTCTTGGCGAGAATCACGAGCATGCTGATATGTATACCGTTCCTTCGCGCGCTACGAACCTCTACAGCTTGCCGCCCACATTCATTGACGTTGGCGAGGCGGACGCATTCCGTGACGAAGATGTGGCTTATGCTGCGAACTTGTGGAAGTCTGGTGTATCCACTGAGTTGCATGTATGGCCTGGTTGCTGGCATGGTTTCGATGCATTTGTGCCAGATGCGCCTATTAGTCTGCAGGCGGGGGCTGTCCGTCTGAATTGGCTCAAAAAAGTGCTCGAAAGTTCCTGATAGAGTTATCAATATGAATACTTACGCATTTGATGGGGCTGTGGCGATATCCTTCCCTTAATTTTAACTATATATAGCTTCCATGTGCCCAGCATTGTTCTCCTGTACTCTTTACTTGAATAGATCACTTGCTACATGTTTATGGAACCTGACCTGTATAAAAATCAGCTAGACAGGAGTGAGGTTCGTATCTCTCCCTACCAAAGACGACAAGAAGTTTATTTTAAGTCTAACTTGATCGTACTATCAACTCATTCGCTATTCCCCCTCACACTGATCATATACTCGAAATTTGGAACCTTACGTTGAAGCTACACACAGTTTTGGCCAACTGAAAAGGGATTAGCCAATCAATCCAGGCACACATAAGGTTAGGGAACTAATCCCGCTTAGGCCTAGAGCACGGGAACAACATCCCATGAATGTCAATTACTAGTCTCCATCCTTGATCAAATCTTCCTCCCCGACGGACGCCAAATCAACAATTGGCCCATCATGTTCAATTACGGAACCGACGAGGATCTCCAGGAAAAGGTCTATATCCTTGTCACCGGTGCAAACAGGTACCGCACTCCTCTATCCTCAAGTCCCAACTAATCTCCCGCACAAATCAACCCCTATATTATGTTCAGCTTTCTAACTCGGTCTACAGTGGTCTTGGATTCTCGATATGCTGCCGTCTAGTCGATGAATTCCTCAGCTCCCCTCAACGTACAAACCAATCGTTAACCGTCATCTTCACCACCCGAAGCCCCAAGAAAGGAAATGATACTCTCCGCCGCCTCCAGGACCATCTCCGCAAAACCTCCGCAACACCCTCCCCCACCAGAAGGGTAACCTTCATCCCGGAGAGCGTAGACCTAAACAACCTCGTCTCCGTCCGCGCGCTCTCCCGCTGCCTGAATGATGAGTACCCCAAACTCGACGCCATCATGCTCAATGCCGGCATCGGGGGCTGGTCAGCCCTGAATTGGCCGCGAGCCGTCTGGGGCGTCCTCACCGACCTTGTCCACGAAGTCTCCTGGCCCTCATACAAGATCGCACCCGTTGGCATGGTAACAGACTATCAGACCACGACGCTAGCAACCCAAGAGCCGCGCCTGGGCTCCGTCTTCTGCGCAAACGTCTTCGGTCACTACATGCTAGCGCACAATGTCATGCCCCTGCTGCGACGGTCAGGACAACCCCACGGCCCCGGCCGTGTCATTTGGGTCTCCAGCCTAGAAGCCACGGTGAAGTTGTTCGACGTCGACGATATTCAGGGTCTTCAGACCACGGCGCCCTACGAATCTTCCAAGGCGTTGACCGACATATTGGCGCTGACGGCCGATCTACCCAGTACCAAGCCCTTCGTGAAGGGTTTCTACTCCGTCGACGATAACAGGACTTATAATAGTGGATTTGGGAGACCTAGAATCACTAATGACGATAACTCGGCCCCAAATATGTACCTCTCTCACCCCGGAATCTGTGGCACGGGTATCATCCCGCTCTCCTGGCCGCTCTTTTACTCAATGCTTGCCATCTGCTTTTTTGCCCGGTTACTAGGGTCCCCATGGCATACGGTGTCGACTTATCTAGGTGCCTGTGCTCCTGTGTGGCTAGCGTTGTCTGCTCAGTCCGTCTTGGACACGGCTGAGTCGCTGTACCGGCAGAATGGTGGCGGTAGGGCGAAATGGGGTTCCTCTACCAACAGGCTCGGCAAGGATAATGCGGCATCTACCGAAGTTGACGGGTGGGGGTATGGTGGTGTCGTTGGTCCCGCTATTGTGGATGAGGATCGGTTGCGTCGGCGGAAAAGAGGCGCGGTGGACCTTACAGCGGAAGACAAAGAGGAGTTTGAAGAGCTGGGGAGAAAGTGCTGGCAGAAAATGGAGGAGTTGAGAATTGAGTGGGATAAAATTCTTGATCTGGATGAAGTAAGCCCTGATGATTTCGGTCTGGGATTCTAATGTCGCATAAAAATCGCATCTCGGGTTGTATATTATACGGTAGATACCATGTCAATCTTCGCATATGTGATTTTTGTACAAGGCGCAGGACGTTCGCTAGTTCTTTGTCAGAAATGCACAAATGCACTGTATTCTTTTTTTCCCCTGATTCTGCCTCCCATATTTACATTCCTTAACCCCGTGTCCACATACATCATTAGAATCCGATAAAGTATTAGCCCACTATCCCCCAAGCAGATACGGTGCAACGAGGAAAGCACAAACGTGTTCGCAAGATTGAAATAAAGAAACACAACATTGAATGGTCTCAGAGAGCAATGTCCAACAAGATAGAATATAAAAAGAAAAGATTCGGCGCAAGGCAGTCGACGGGTCGGCAGCAACACGTATAGTGAAGAAACATAAGAAGCATGATTACTAAAATTCTGTAGAGGGCAGCGCTTTCGCCATCAAGGCATTCAGCGTTTGCGTACAGTGGAGCAGGATAAGGAAATGGAATAAAAGATTTATGCAAGAAGGGGGAAGGTAAATAGAAAGGTGTCAGGACCGCCATGTATTCCAAAAATTGGTCGTGACCTTGACCAAGAAATCCTGGCAGGCTCAGGCCTGGTTGAAATCAATTGAAGTAAAACAAACCGACTCCGGTTCTATGCATCGGGCGGCTTCGAGGTGTAGGCGACTGGAAGCAAAGTATTTGAGGACATGTCGACATGAGAAGAGGGGTTTTACATAATGATGGCGGGAACTGGTAGAAAAGGTCAGAATTAACACGTTAGAAAAGCGAAGTGACTACTTACCATCAACGTTCTGCTTGATGCTCTTATGAGGAAGGATGGATCCACCATTAACATAGACTTCGTCTGCGATAGTAACGTCGTCACCCAGCACGGTAACATTCTCCAGACGAGCCCATCGACCTACGGAGCTATTCCATCCGACAATGGTTGACTTAACCCAGGCATGATCCTTGACCTTGCTGTTCTCTAAAAGCACGCAACGCTGCAGACGGACTCCATCACCGACCACAACGTTGGGGCCAATGACTACATTGGGACCAATGCGGCAGTTCTTGCCAATCTTGGCAGAGGGGTCAACCATAACATTGCCACCATACACGTAGGGTTCGGAGTTGGGTGCGAGCAGCTTGGAATTGCGCTTGGCAAGGGAAGTGAGGTATAGACACGTGCCGCTGAGGAAGTCCTTAGGTTGCCCAACATCCATCCAGAAACCCTCCAGGTCAAAGGAGTGGAGCTGACCGTCCTTGCAAATAGCAGGGAATGTCTCCTGCTCAATGGAGGTCGGGCGCAGCTCAATGCGATTCAGCACACTAGGGTTCATAATGTAGATACCGGCATTGATACGGTTGCCAACGAATTCAACAGGCTTTTCGACAAAGCGGTCGATGCGCGAGGGGTGGTTGGGCTTGTGAACAACGACACCATACTTGGAGGGCTCGTCGACCTTAGTAACAACAATGGTACCTTCGTCACCATGGTTCTTATGGAACTCAGCCAGCTCCTTAAAAGGATAGTCGCAGATGACATCGGAGTTTAGAACAAAAAATGGAGAGTCGTCCTTGCCCAAAATCTTCTCCGCTAATTTCAGGGGACCGGCCGTGCCCAGGGGTTCTGATTCGACGGAGAACTCGATTCTGACATTGTATTGTTCCTCATACTAGTTGGGGTAAGCATGAGCATGGGGGCTGACATTAATTTTTTTTTTTTTTTGTTTTCGCGGACAAACCTTCTTGAGGGCCGAAACCATGACATCCGGACGGTAGTTAACAGCTAGGACAATATCCGTGACACCAGCAGCAGCCAAGCTCTCGACTTGGTGCAGAATCATAGGACGGTTCCCAAATTCCACCAGGGGTTTGGGAAGGGTCAATGTCTAGTTAAGCGATCATATATGTCAGTATGGGTTCGTAGGCAGCCAGTATGTTCTACGTCACGATCGTCGGCGGGGGGAAGTTGCTCACCAACGGACGGAGACGGGTACCAAACCCTCCGACAAGAATGAGAGCTGCAATGAAATGAAATTAGCAAAGAGGAGTGGATACTGTACTGAGAAGAGCACATACCCTTCATGACTATATAATGGGACGAAGTTAAGAGAGAGAAGTGTTAATATGGTGGTATATTGTAGGAACCGGCGGCGACGGTTGTTTTGAACGAGTGACCGAGGGATAAGGGGGGGTAAAAGCGAAAGGAGGGGGGAGAAAAAGAATTAGATTGCAATCCTGCACGAGGGAGAGAACGATGACAGCGTAAAGTGAAGATGGGGACTGAGATCAATCGGTCGAGGGAACGGCCGTTGACAGATCGAACGATGTCAACCAGAAGAAGGAAGGAAAAGGAGGAGGAGAGGAAAATAAAGATCAATTATAACAAGCAATGAACACCTGGCGGTTGGAGGCCCAGCATGTATGTATGAGAGATGTACCTGTATTAGATGCACATGGTTTAGGGGGTGCCGGACATGGTATGGTAAGGTATCAGGTACCACCAAGAAAAGAGGTCCTCCTTTGCACGTTTGCAGCCAGCGCCACAATGCACCGTCCCCGACGAATTACAGTACAGTATTGCCGGTACAGCCTCTGGGCCTAGATCTCATTCGGGAAGTCGGATCAGGTGCTTCGTGGGGCCATTACTCCATACACCCCCTAAATTTAAAGGAACATCCTGTAAGGGAGCAGAAGTTCTTACACAACATAATTAAAAAAAAAAAAAAAAGAAAAGGAGGCATCCATTCAAATTTATACTGGATGACAGAGTTGCATTGACGGGAATTGGTCGCGGCTTCCTTACAGGAAGTACCTTCTTTTTTCTTTTCTTTTTTATGTCGACCATGATGCTTATACTGTAGATGAATGCATATGCGAATAAACTTTATTAACATCCTGCACTCTTACCCCCTACTACTAGTACACGACTATGATTTCCTTAGCGTTGCACTCAATGTGATAGGTACAACTGCGAAGAGTAAGTAGTATGTACTACGGGGTATTCGGAGTCGGGATTCCGTCCCTGTATCTCCTGATCAGTTATCAAAAATCAAGTTTAAAATGTGCGCTCATAGTGATCGTTCTGTAACCTTACCTTCAGGTATGTTAAATACATACATAACCTCTTTCTACAGAGTTGTTTCTAATTATAACCTCAACGAATCCTCTTGCGTATCTGGAGGTAAAGTCGGTCCACGTTTCGTGGGTTTCCTTGCGTCACCGCCTGCTGAATCCGTCGTGGTGCTCACGAAGCGTCTGATCCAGTCGCGCACCTTTCTTGCTTTCACCCGCAGTAGTTCATCGTTCTTGGCTGTCGTATCATGATTCATGAGACTCCTTGCACTGTACATACCACCCGCATCTGTTACGTCGATCCACTGTCGATGGAGTAGATCGATTTTGGTGGTCCCTTTCCTGAGACTCTGCCCGTAAACCCGTTCCCGGAAGGTGCTCAATCCTACCATGCGCAACAACACAATGTCTCGCGGCCGCAAAGTCTCCAGCATTTGGCGAAGCTCATGGCTCTCGTCATGATGATCTGGGCCGATCCTTTGTTCCATGGGGGGCAGCCAAAAAGTAACTCCGAACCCGCTTCTTGTGTCATCTCCCACGACCATTTCGATAAGGTCTAGTTCGTTCTTCCATCGCCGCGTTACAATGCGACGCGGTGGTCGAATTGTAACAATTCCGACGATGAGATTCACCGTCATAGTTTGTGGCACGATGGACGTCAAGAATGCAGCGCTCGGAACGTTTTGAAGATCTGTAATACCTCCTTGGATGGGCAACTCAAAGCCAAGGGATTCTTCTGTTGCGATAGAAGTTCCTGTGCTGTCGACCCATACGCCACTTTCTTTCATGGAATCCCCGAGATGGACGCCCGGGGCAGTAATCTCAGACGTCTCATGAACGGTGAAAGAATGGTCGTAAAACTGGGTGAGAGTTGAATCATCTGCGGCAGTTGATAAGCCCCTAGGCGTTACAAGATCTTGAATCGTAAAGAAGCGAGCGCCTTTATCTATACCTAATCCCAGGTTTTCGCCAAGTGCCACCGGAGATCTTTCATCTTGTAATAGCCTCCATTTTACAGGATCAGGATCTGTGAAAGACCAATCGTCTCCACTGTGAGTATCCGAACTATGAAATGGAGGGATGGGCGCCGTGAGAAGCTCATCTTCGTTCCACTGGAGGCTTCGTATTGTGGGGGCTCCCATGAGAAAAATGACCTTTCTAGACATAGTTGTAGGGATAAAACTGGAAAGATGACCATCAATCAACGAATAGCAGCAGTGTTATGGGTGTTCTGCGCCTCGAATGGCGGTGCTTTGTTTCTGTAGATGACGAACTCGCCAGACGTGAATAGATTCCAGCCGATGAATGACGGGAACATTGAGAGCAGGAGTATTAAGTCTTTGTTATATGTCTGAACACCGCAGGGTTTGTGGTACTAAATAAACATTGACATAGTTTGTGATGACGAGGACGGTCTATGATGTCCGGTGGTTCAGAAGGAACCGATCTGAACCATGGATTGCTGCCAAACAGATCTTCATGATTTTACGATACTGTAACACGGATTTCTCCGAATAACAAGCATGACAACATTCGAATCGAAAGGACAAATCCTGCGATTTTGAAAAAGGATACACAATATATTAGGTCACCATATGACGCCAAAGTTGCTTTACTGTGTAGAAGACCCGTCGTGCCTGAGGCATGTGGATCCCACGTGACTCAGTTCCCCCTACGGCCGAGCATTTGAGTCGAAGTGGCAATGTTCCGCCGGGCGAATTTCGCCGCCGCATCCACCGATGAAGATGCCATCATCGTTATTGTTCACCCATCCGACGTTCTTATCTAGCCATCACCTGCTCCTGATCTGATCAGTGATGGCATTTGCGTTCACGAAGAGATAACTGTTAACCGCATATCGCCTAGTCTTTGTTCTCTCATATATCTCCGAGGGGTAGATCCTGCTCCGCGGCCCTGCGCCGCGCCTTCGGTCTACCATGGCCTTTCAACTTCCGATTCCTAAGCCTGTAAGCACCACCTGTTTTCGTGCTTGTTGGAATCGTTTGTCTAACTCTTCGACTGCCAACCAGAATCTTTCGGCTGCGACATCAGATATCTGGCCTTCGATGTCGAAGCTTCTCAATGCGCCTTGGAAGAACGTCGAGCGCAACCCTGCTACCTCCGGTCCTGCCGCCTCCCAGGGCCTCTTTCAACGCACGGCTGAGGAAGTAAGTTTCAGCGGCATACCAGCGGCATACCTTTTAGGGATTATTTAGCGTTTGATGACTGGAGTTTACTGACGATGCTGTAGGGGTCAAATCATGTTTCGCTGCCGGAGTTTCTCGACACGGTGCCCTCCGAAGCCTTGAGGCCGGGGACATGCAACAAACCTGCGCACCATCTCTGGTCTCGTTCTTTCTCCAAAGGTAAGCCTCATTATTCCCTTGTAGTACTTCCGATGAAATTCTCTAATACGGTGGGCTTTTGTCAGAATCTACACTTTGGACTGCGCCATCTCTTGTCTCTCGTCAGCTCCCCTCGTCGTCAATTCGCTCCTACTCTACATGGACATCATTGGACCGTCTCCGCCACGTGCCTAGTGCTATAGGGATTTCAAGGTTGCAGCAGCAGCGTTTCATATTTGGAGGACCATCCCACGGTTTATTGGCGCAGAAAGAGAAAACTGCGAATAGCAACCCCAATAGTGCAAACGCCCAAAATGCTTTCTATCAGGCCCTTCTTCGAGCCAATATGCCAGCAATTGTTGTTGAACGGTATAAAAGTGGTCATTTTGCTACCAATGCGCTTTCGGAAGCGATTTATCTTAAGGCCTTACAACGTGTCGGTGGAACCGATGCCGCTGCATTATCGGCCGCGGCGTCGGCCCAAGTTGGTAACTCAAATCTGAACTCTGAACAACTCCAAGCTATCGGACAGGCTGTTGCGGCTCAGAACCACGGCGGTAATGTCGGTGTGTCGACAAAGGCAAACGGCACCGGTGCCAAAGAGGCTCCACTATATGTCGTTGTGGAGGAGTCGCTAGGTAGCGCCGTATTCCGATGGGTCAAGTTCTTGTTATATTTTGGCTTCTTCACGTACATGTCTCTGGTCTTGGTTACTATCCTTGTGGAAACTACCGGTGTTCTTAAGAATATCAAGGGTCCTCAGAACAACGAAGCTCAGCCTCAGCAACAGACCGTCCGATTCACCGATGTGCATGGTTGCGACGAAGCTAAGGAAGAACTCCAGGAGCTGGTTGAATTCTTGCTGAACCCAGAACGATTTTCCTCTCTTGGTGGCAAGTTACCGAAGGGCGTGCTTCTTGTTGGCCCTCCTGGTACCGGAAAGACGCTGCTGGCCCGTGCCGTGGCAGGCGAAGCTGGTGTACCTTTCTTCTACATGTCTGGTTCAGAGTTCGATGAAGTGTACGTTGGTGTCGGTGCCAAGCGTGTCCGTGAACTGTTCACCCAAGCACGAAGCAAGGCACCCGCCATCATCTTCATTGATGAGCTAGATGCCATAGGTGCGAAAAGGAACGAAAGGGATGCGGCCTATGTCAAACAGACACTGAACCAGCTTCTCACGGAACTTGACGGATTCTCGCAGACCAGTGGAGTGATCATCATCGCCGCAACAAACTACCCTCAATTGCTTGACAAGGCATTGACTCGACCCGGTCGATTTGATCGACGTGTGGTTGTTGATCTTCCTGATGTGCGGGGCCGTATGGATATCCTCAGACACCACATGAAAGAGGTCCAAATCAGCACGGATGTTGATGTTGCTGTCATTGCGCGCGGTACCCCTGGTTTTTCTGGTGCTGACCTGGAGAATCTCGTCAACCAGGCTGCCATCTTCGCAAGCAGGAACAAACAGGCAAAGGTTGGCCCGAGGGACTTTGACTGGGCTAAGGACAAAATTATGATGGGTGCAGAAGCTCGCAGCCGGGTTATCCAAGACAAGGACAAGCTTCTTACCGCGTATCACGAGGCCGGTCACGCTCTGGTTGCTTACTTTTCGCCCTCTTCGACGCCACTTTACAAGATTACCATCGTCCCTCGCGGGATGGCTTTGGGCGTGACCCATTTCTTGCCTGAGATGGATACAGTTTCCAGGAACTATACTGAATACTTGTCTGACATCGACGTTTCCATGGGCGGCAAGGCAGCAGAGGAGCTTATATTTGGGCCTGACAAGGTCACTAGCGGCATCTCAGCGGTAAGTTTCTCGCGGTCTTCATAATTTGGGACTATTCGCTAATCATCTGTAGGATATTCAACAAGCCACGGAGACGGCTTTCACTCTGATAACCCGTTTTGGGTACTCCAAAAAACTCGGAAATGTTGACCTTTCCACCAACTATGACAGCTTGTCCTCTGAGACTAAGCAGGAGATCGAAGGCGAAGTTCGACGCCTTGTCGAGGAAGCCCGCATGCGCGCTACGAACATTCTGACCGAAAAGCGCCATGAGTTGGAATTGCTGACCAAGGCGTTGATTGAGTACGAAACATTGACCAAAGAGGAGATGGAAAAGGTGTTGAAGGGCGAGAAGCTCGAGAAGTTGGAATCGAGAGCAGCGGCGCCACTCAAACTGCCCGAGGCCCTACAGGCGGCCAGGTTGAACCCGTCCACCTCGGCTGAAGGGCCGCCGACGTCGACTGCGTCGGATGTCAATTAAGCGGCTTCTCGATTCATCATCCTCCTAGCTTACAGGGAAACCCTCCCCTTTCCTTTTTTTTCTCTATAACTCCTCTCCGTTTGTCGATTGTTAAATGCATCAAGGATGAAGATTTTTCTTGTTGGGTGCTTTCATGGACCAATTTCTTGGACCGTTATATTATTCTTAGTGTATCCGGTGTTAATTCCTGCGTTTTCTTTTCTTCATTTTTCCTACTCGTCTCTGTTCCTGATATCTATCCTTGATGGAATACTAAATAACCGTGCATATGACATATGGCATATGGGGTTTGGGAGGTGAGCGACGGCAAGCGAATGATTTGGCTGTATTGTAGTGTACATACATGGGTATCAATGAGAAACTGTATGCCAACCTCATGTTCTATATTCGATCCATCCTACCTAGCTAAGTATATCCAGCCGTGCTGATGAAAGGATACCGGGCCTCCTTTAGAGCCATATGGCTACAGCCCTGGTCGATGCCTTATTTTCAAAGGTGCATCGAATGGGCGGAGGAATAATTGAATTACTAGTAGGAAGGGCAAGAAAAAGTCCAATGAGATTATTTACAGGTGGAAAGAGGGGAACTGCTGTTGACAGGTGACTTTGACCACCTGACTCACCCGGTCGTTAGGCAAAGCAGGAACGACGACTGGTCCACGGTAGTAGTAGTACATGCCTATCAAGATCGGCTGTAGGGTCACCCCCACCCTGCCTTGTCGATATTCATGCACAGCCAGCTGTGTGCTAATATCATATGATGCATGAGATCTTCGCCTAGTATAAACACCTTGAACCAACCCCTGCGTAGTACACAGTATTGTTCTTACCGATGAAGAAATACCTTTGGCTAATTTGTCGTTCGTCCTCGGAACCATATTCATTCGACTCAAAAGAATGATGGCAAGGTTAGCCTGGTTATATATGCATTGAATTTCTAAATATTTACCAGAACTATCTGATGTAATGATCGGGTATCCAAAAAGACACTCCACCGCCGAGTTGGCCCGTACCCAAAACCCCAAGACATGGAAATCAAAAAGAACATAAAGACAACGCTAAATCGCAAATCGCATCCCAGAATTATGTATATAGATGGGTCTCGTTTGTCGCTTGTGTATGTATGTAATCATTCCTCCTCTGCCTCATCAGCTGGGTCCGTCCAGCCTCGAGACATCTCGACTGCTTTGCTCCATCGCTTATACAGCTTCGAGCTCTGAGCGGCGGAAATATGGGGCTGGAATGTTGTGCGATTGGCGCGGTTCATGTTCTTGAGCTCGCTGAAATCCTTCCAGATATCAATGGCGAATGCCGCCGCGATTGCGGCACCTAGAGCGGTGGTTTCGTGCATCGCTGGCCGTTCAACAGGGATCTGGATAATATCTGCCTGAGTCTGAGGGAAGAAGTTAATTTCCCGCCTCTTTTTTTTTTGGGAAAGTAAACTAAGTGCGACATACCTGCATGCAAATATCGGAATTACTCATACCGCCATCGACGGCGAGTTCGGACAATGCGTGTCCGCTGTCCATCTCCATGGCATCGAGGATTGCTTTAGTTTGGAAGCAGGCAGCTTCCATGGTGGCACGAGCAATGTGTCCACGCTGCGTGTGCTGAGTGATTCCGACTAGACCAACATTAGTACTGATTCTGTACAACTGTTTCTGACACGGCAGTGACTCACATATAGTTCCCTTAGCGTCATCAATCCAGTACGGCGCAAACAGACCACTGAACGCGGTGACAAACACACAGCCTCCGCTGTCTGGAACCGTTGCTGCCACTTCACTCACTTTCCGCGAATCACGGAAGAAACCCATGTTGTTCATCAGGAAGGAAACACCACTTCCGGCCACAGCCACACTACCTTCAAGCGCATAAACGGCTTTCCGATGCTTACCCAACTGGAATCCAACTGTGCTGAGCAAGCCATGTTTAGAAATGACGGGCTCCTCACCAACGTTGTAAAGAAGGAAGCATCCTGTGCCATATGTGTTCTTCGCTGTTCCAGGTGTGAAGGCACAATGACCGACTAATGCCGCAGACTGGTCGCCAAGGCAGCTGGTGATCGGGACACCATCAAGCGGTCCCCCCCTGACCCATCCATATCCGTCTGGGTCGGATGATGGGAGAATTTTAGGAAGTCTAATCTTCGCCCTGTCAATGCCGAAGAAATTTAACAAATTATCGTCATAATCAAGCGTTTTCAGGTTCATGAACATCGTTCTTGATGCGTTCGTCACATCAGTCACCAGGACGTTTCCCTCCGGACCACCGTTCAGGTTATACATGAGCCACGTATCAACAGTGCCGAAGGCGAGCCTTCCTTCATCATATGCCTTCTTGACTTCCGGTAGGTTCCGAAGCATCCATACTAAGGTGACAGAGGAGGGGTAAGTCGAAAGGGGAAACCCGCAGATGTTCTTCAACTCATCCGCTCCGGGTTGGGCCTTCAGCTCTCGAACGAGACCCTTGGTCCTGGTGTCGGGCCACGCGATAGCGTTATGCAGCGGCTCGCCGGTCTCCCAATCCCAAACAAGCGTCGTCTCTCGTTGACTGGTGACACCGATGGCTTCGATCTCTGATGGTGAGTGGCCAAGAGCCATGAAAGACTTCATCGCCTCCTCGATACATGTGTAAACCGAATCCACCAAGTCGAAAGGGTCTTGTTCGTGCCATCTACACGAAGGGTTTCAAGTCAGAGGGGAGAATATCGTGCAGTCAATGGAGGCAGCCACTTACCCTGAATGCTCGTGGATCTGACGGAACTCCATTTGATATTTGGCGACAGGGACACCAGTGCAGTCAAAGATGATAAAGCGGGAGCTCGTGGTGCCGGTGTCAATGGCACCAATGAACCGGTCCTTCAAGCTGTCGCCATGACGATTTTCATTTGGCTGCAGGAGAGAACGATTGCCGTCATGTGTTTGGTAGGCGTGAATGTCAATATAAGGCTGCTCCTCTTGTTCATCGACAAGAGAGTCGAGGTCGGACATATCAAAAGGGTTCCTCATTGTGATAAGAGTATTTTGTTTTCCTTTTCTTTCTCACGTTGGTGACACAAAAGATTTATCTTCTCTCGTTGACCTTTATAAAATCGAGAGAAATTGGGCCAAAGAGGACGGGGTGGCGGGAATATGAGGATTGATTGGTGCAAAAAATAGTGAGGGTTCGAGATTGGGGTGGGAGAGTTTTACGTCCCTAATCCGGTACTTAAAAAGCGGAAGAGGGGAAAAAGAATAAGTGGGAGGGAGAGAAATGATGGAATTGGACTACGAAAGCAAGTCGGGGCGCGCGGCGGGGTTGATAATGATACAAGTCCAAGTTTGCCCAGAATCGAAAAGGCGGATGATGACGTACAAGTGACCGGAAGTCGGGTGGAGTGAGGGAGGAAAAAAAAAAAAAAGTCACAGAAATAGTAAGTAAGTAGTAATCAGCCGCGAAGATCTGGAGAAAAGTAAAAAAGAAGTCTTGGTGGTTCGGAGGTGGAAGTGCAAGTGAAACTGGATTGGAAGATCGGAGGGAGGTATGAGGTCACTGAATGGGTGCGCTTTAGTGGAGTGGCGAGAGTGAGGAAAACGTTGGGAGGAGGAGAGGGAAGGGAGGAAGAGAAGAAGAATTAGGATCACTCAAAAGAAACAACAAGAGGGAAAACGGAGACTCTTTATCCAGCACGGTGGATCTTTCCCAGCGCGGAGGTTAAGGATTACTATTAGGTGTGCATAAGCTTGGGGATTATCCCTCCATTTTGAATTTTTTACCCCGTGATCTCTTTTAGGTCCCTGTAGTCTGTACCTGTTGTGCAGGTCCCCTACTACTACTAGTACTGACTACCTACAGGAGTACACCAGTACTACTACTACTGCTACCTACTCTACTACCGGAGTCATCAATACCTACCCGGTTGGCTCTTCCCTACGACCCAAGACCCCGTTCGTCCATGGCGGAGAAGTGGGGGCGTGGGGGAGGAAGCACTTTTTTTCTTGCGCCTTCTTTTCCTTCTACTTCTCTCTCACCTTTTTTTTTTTTTTTTTTTTT